GCCCCTTATCTACTTATTTTTATGTTATACCTAGTATGTATTATTTTTGAAATTAAAAAGAAAGAAAGAAAATTATCCCTCGAAGCGCTGTGAAAAAAGCTATGGATTTAATCATCAATGCCACCTCTTGAATAACTAAAGCAATGTAATCTTACAGCAACTTTGCAGGTATAGCAGCAGCTATTTTTACCCAATTTAATTCAACATTTCTGAGCACCTACTAAGTACAAGAGACAGCGCTGGTCTCTGGTTAGTAGCAAGATGAAGTCTCTATTTTTTAAGGAGATTATAATCTGTGAGGAAGACCAACCAAGGTGGCAAAAATATCTATAATACAGAATAGAACTTGAAAATAGTCATCCTCTGCATCACAATTTGAGAACTAAATATTTAAAATCCCAATTTCTGGTTAGTGCCCCATCAGAGCCCAAATCCAGTTAGTCAGAGATTACAGCTGACCCTTGAACAACACTGGTTTGAACTGCATGGACCCACTTATAGGCAGATTTTTTTCAACAAAACTTAGATTGAAAATACAGTATTCACCAGAGGCAAAACCCTAATACATGAAGGGCCAACTTTTCATATGCGTGGGTTCCCCAGGGCTAACTGGGATTTGAGTACGTGCAGATTTTGATACATGGAGGCATGGGGGTCAGGCAGTCCTGGAACCAATCCCTTATGTATACTAAGGGACCACTGTATCTTAGGTTTTGCATGGCATGTTATTTTGTTTTGAGTTCATCCATCCCTCAACCATTTGTGACAATGACTGCACTTATTCACTAGCGGTAAAACTATGCTGTTATACATACAGATATTAATATAGTTTCCATAGCTTTTGAGAGCTCATCCCTCAAATGAATCCTCAATTGTTTTCTTCCTTTGGTTTGTATATCTGTTAATATTGTCACAATGATTCTATCAATACTACTAAGTCAAAAATAACTGAATCCTCCTGTTTTTTAATTATAAATTTGAAAATTAAATACTAATACAGTTGTGATAAATCCAAGATTCTTCCCCATCTTGAATCACACAACATCCTACACACAACAGTCAGACACTTTGTGAACAGGATTAAGGCACAGGAGGATTTCTCTTTTACTAAGAACACAGATACAAGGAAAAATGGAATCCTTCCTCTAAAACTAACTAAACATTGGAATTTACAAACTTTTATGGCAGCTGGAATAACAAATCCCCAAATCAACACATGTTCAATCTGTAATCTAAAGGGATTTTTTTTAAATAAAACTGAGAAAAGTTAAATATATTCTGCCTATCCCAGGGTAGTAGTGTTTTGCCCACCAGGAACACTTATAAGTTGTTCATGATTTCCAGTTCTAAAAAGGTTCCAGAGGCAGCTTTTTAGCCTGCACTGCTGTCCAACATCGCCTATGTCTCTTTTTTTTTTTTTTTTTTTTGAGACAGAGTCTCACTCTGTTGTCCAGGCTAGAGTGCTGTGGCGTCACCTAGCTCACAGCAACCTCAAACTCCTGGGCTCAAGCGATCCTCCTGCCTCAGCCTCCCGAGTAGCTGGGATTACAGGCATGTACCACCACGCCCAGCTAATTTTTTCTGTATATTTTTAGTTGTCCAGCTAATTTCTTGCTATTTTTAGTAGAGACGGTGTCTCGCTCTTGCTCAGGCTGGTCTCGAACTCCTGAGCTCAAACAATCTGCCCACCTAGGCCTCCCAGAGTGCTAGGATTATAGGCATGAGCCACCGCGCCTGGCCACCTATGTCTCTTGAAGCAGTAAAGTAGTTGTATAGCCCAGAAAAATTCTTCTACCCAAGGATTTGTAAAAATTTCAGAATCACATGGCCACAATACTGTTCATTGTTTAATCTTGTCCTTTATGAAATCAGACATGGCAACTGCTGGCATATATAGGCAATAGCTCTGCATTTCAGTTAGAGATAGTAAGAAATCTTAAATACTATGTATCAACTCATAGAGAGTTGCCAGACTGGGGGAATAAGTATCTATCTATGAGATGTCGGTAAAGAGTAAGAGATTAGGATGTTATGAGATTAGAATGTTGACTATGTACAGCCTGGGTGCCCCAAACCTGTATCAGTACTTTCAAAGAAACTCACTAACATATTTCTGCTCCTGCACTGAAGTATCACATGAGATAAGACTTGCATCTCATTCAGGACAACCTGATAATTACCACTGTGTTCCAAAAGTCAGGGAAGAATCAGTATTATTTCCTACTTTCATGTTTTTTTTGGGGGGGTCTCCTAAATCCTAACCTAGTTCAAGAAATAAAAATGTCTAAGCATCAGTAAAGGATTGCTCTGATTCTTCTATGTTTTGATGTCTTTCTTAAATTTAAAAAAAAAGTTACTAAAGAAAAAAGAAATAAAGGCCCAAATGAAAATGGCATATTGAAAAAACAAACAAACAAATAAAAAGACAAAACACGGTATTGAACAAAAGAACCAATAAGAATGCTACTTAGTAGAGGCAGTAGAGAGAAGTAGTTGAGTAGTTAGGCTCTGGAGCCAGCATGCCTAGCTTACTAACTATATGATCTCCAGCAAGTTTCTTTTAACTACGTTACCATTATTTTCCTCTTCTGCACGACGGGAATAACAACAGTAACAATCTCAGAGTTGTTAAAGAATAAATGAGTTAAATCATGTAAAGCAGTAAGAATCTGACCATTTTTAACCAAATAGATGGATAAAAATCCAAGGTTTTAATAACACTGTTGATGAAGCTGTTGGAAGACAAGCAGTCTCATACACTGCTTAGTATTAATACTAAGCTTTATGGAATGCATTTCAGATATCCCACTTTTGAGAATTTATTCCATTGATATTCTTGCACAGGTGGAAAAGGACAGGTATACTAGGTTTTTTATTTCATACCAGAAACCCAAACACCCATCAAAAGAGATTATTAAATCAAGAACGGCAAATTCATGACACAGAACACTATGCAGTAGTTTTTTTTAAAAAAATGAGGGCACTTACTTACTGATAAGATATCCAAGATAACTAAAAAATATAAAACATAGAACAGCAAAAGTTACCCTTTGCATAAAAAGAGACTGAAAAACTAGGAAGCATATTCATCTTTGCTTGTTTTGCACTAAGAGAAACTACTAACAATGGCAAGGAACTGAGCAGACAGGAGACTGGATGGGAGGGAAACTTCAAACTGTCTATATTTTTATTATTTTTTTAGCTATATAAATATTTTACCCATTCAAATATTAAATCTTTAAAAGTATTTTTAAAGTTTTGGGGGTACAGTTCAAGAGCTCAAATATTAGCTGCAATGATTATGTTGTTGTTATTAGCAAGCTCAAAATACCTCTTTTCTGAAGTCTTTTTCTTACTCCCTCTGCACAGAAGCCTCCTCTCCCTCTTCTAACTCCCAGACTACTATTTAAGGAATTTATCATTTTCGACTCCAGTGTAAGTGGATTAAGGGGTAGGTCAATGTCTCACTCATTTGTAATATCCAAGGAGCCTTACTTGTACATAGTAGGTACATTTTGGAGTAACAGTAACCTACAATTATTCCAAAAGAGAAAAAGGTGATAATTTCTAAAAAGATTATACTCTATCATTAATTATAAGACCTGAAAATTGAAAAAGCTGGGCCAGGCGCGGTGGCTCACGCCTGTAATCCTAGCTCTCTGGGAGGCCGAGGCGGGCAGATTGTTTGAGCTCAGGAGTTCGAAACCAGCCTGAGCAAGAGCGAGACCCCGTCTCTACTAAAAATAGAAAGAAATTAATTGGACAACTAAAAACATACAGAAAAAATTAGCCGGGCATGGTGGCGCATGCCTGTAGTCCCAGCTACTCGGGAGGCTGAGGCAGGAGGATCGCTTGAGCCCAGGAGTTTGAGGTTGCCGTGAGCGAGGATGACGCCACAGCACTCTAGCCCGGGCAACACGGTGAGACTCTGTCTCAAAAAAAAAAAAAAAAAAAAATTGAAAAAGCTGAATAACTGGATTTGCTAGTGTTCTTTCAACTATTGCCCAGCCCAAATCGCCCCCTTTCACTAAGTTTTCCTTTTTTTACAGGACTGTCTCTGACATTGACATCATGTCCAAGCCAAGACCTGACATGTACCAACTCTCTATAACTCACTGCAAACTTTGAAATGTTGTGTTTTCTCATAAGTCCAACATCTGATCCAGCGCCCCTGTCAAAAATGGGTGTTCCTGTTACGAATTCACTTGTTGACTCCTTTTAGACAGATGTTCACATATTTATTAGCGAACAAAATGTCCTTAACTGAAGAAGACCTAACACTTGATGCCTAATTCTCTCAGCGTTTTGTTTGTTCTTCTGGTATGGAAGCTATTCTATAATTGACTGCTCAGTAGCCCAATTCTAGATGTCACTCCAGCACACCAAATACTCCACTGACAGCTCAACAGTCACTTTTCATACAGGCCCCTCCCCTTCCCTCCTCCCTCAACCCCCCATCAGCTCAAGAGCTCTTTCCCTCATACTGACAGACACACTGACAATTTAGAAGCCCTTTTCCCCGCGCGTCCTTCCCTGCAGTTACAGGACTACCTCCTCACCTCTCATCATCCCGCGACTCAATTCGGTCCCCAACATCGCCCCGCTCCCTGCCAATCACAACCTAAGTCTCTTCCAAAGAACCAGGCAGCTTTGCAACCTTTCCCAACAAGTACACAATTGACAGCTCGACATCAGATTCCCCAAATATCCTTTCCTCCTCCCTTCCCTCCTACTCCATACACTAGCTCTCTTCTCACTACCACTTGCCCATCCCGGCATTCCCGAAAATTCACTGCCCGGTTCCCTAAACACGCTCTCTGCTCTCCCCGCCTCCCCACCCCCTTTCCACAGCTGACAGCTCAGTCACTCCATCCCCATGTAGCTGCACCCTCCTCCACACTTCCCTTGACAGCTCAGGGTCGGCTTCTAGTCCCCCAGCCCGGGCTGTCGGCAGTGCCCCCCGCCCAGGGTAGCCTCGCCGGGGGGAAGGCTTCACTCACCCACTCTCCCGCATCACATTGCTGTCCCCACAATCACAGGCGCCCCCGGCCTGGCTGCGGAACATGTTGAAGTCGTGCCCGGTGTGGTCGCCCTGGTGGAAGCACTCGGCGCACAGCGACATGCAGGGGGAGATGCCGCACGTCCGGCAGCGGTAGGCCACGAAGTTGGCTGTCCAGACCAGGCCGCAGAGTGCCGCGGGGTCGTAGGCCCGCACCGCCGCGCAGAACTCGTCGTAGCCGCCGCCGCCGGCCAGAAGGCACTTACACCACTCCAGGGCCTCCTCCTCGGCCGCCCCTGGACCGCCCCCGCCGCCAGCCGCCGCCGCCTCCTCGCCTCCCGCAGCCGCGGCCAGCGGCCGCTCCGCGCTCAGCACCCGCTCCAGCAGCGCCTGCAGCTCCTCAGCACCTGCCCGGTTGTCTGGCCGGCTGAGGGCCGCCTTTAGGTGAGCGGCGGTGGCCGCCTTGTCTAGGGCCAGCCCCGACGCGGGCAGCTCCGGCTGGGACGGCTGCTGGCCCCCGACGGCCGCCGCGGCCGCCGCCGCCATGATGAGAGCTCAGAATTTGGAGAGTCCAGGACCGGCGGCTCCTCCCGGGAGCGTGCGGGAATTGACTGCTGCGATTGCTCGGTCCGCCCAACTCTCGCGATACTCGGAGCGGCCGCGGACCTCCGCCTGCGTCCCCGCCCCTGCACACGCCCCTGCGGGCTGCGACGCCTCTCCCCGCCCCTCTGGGCTGGGCTTCTCCTTAGTGCCTTATCCCCAAGGCCCCAACCTCTTGGTTCTCAACTTTCATGAAATTTGAGAGCTACTGAAAATAAGGGATTCGCCTTAAGAAATATATTTAATAAGGGTAGTTTTTTCTGTATTTACATAGACTTCAGGAATTACACACAGTATCTTTCAGCTGTGTTTTAGGCATCTGCATTTCGTTTTGAGATGTAGATTTCTACTGTTAGCAAAGTCTACTCCTACTACTGAAGCAGCCTTCTAATTTCTCACCTAAATCCAATTCATATCCTCACACTATTACCAAGATAAAGTACATTCTTTAGAAAATTATAGTACATCCTTACTGTCATTTTCTTGTTCAAAATCTTTAGTAGAAACAAAAACCAAACTCCTTAAATCTTCACTCAAAACCCACCACATCACAAGTCTCCCGACCTTACCTTATATTTATCTTATCTTCTCATCCTTATCTCCTGATGGTACTCCAAGTTTGCCATATTAAAAAAAGAGACCAATGGGCCTGTTTTCCAAAGATGTTTTATCATGTCCTGCCTCTGGATCGTCATTGTTCCTAATTCTCACTCTACTCCAGCCCACACACTCACCCCACAACCCTATTCTAGCAATATCTACCCATGTAATTTCCTTTCTTTAAGAAAAAAAGTGACCTGGTACAGTGGCTGGAGGCTGAGGTGGGGGGAGTTGCTTGAGCCCAGGAGTTGGTGGCTGCAGTGAGCTGTGAATTTATTTGATGCTGTAACTGCCTTGAGTTCTAAAAATCTTATCCCAACCCAACCAATGGTAAATTTCTTGAAGGTAAAGAATGAGTCGTTTTCATCATTGCCCATAAATGCTCAAATATTTGATTATTGTTGTTAAATGGAACATAATTACAATATATAGTGCTTCTTGAATACCTAGTATATGCCAGCCCTTTATGTGGTATTTCTTCTAATCCCCTCAATAATCCTATGAAGTAGGTACTATTAGAGGAAACTAAAAGTTAAGGAGGTGATTTTTTTACCCCAAAATACACAGCAGGCAATTAACGCATTAACTGCCATGTGAGTTGTATTTAACTCACGATAGTTTTGAGCCCGGGGCCTCGTCAAGCATATATAACTCACATATCTCTTCACCTTGGGAGCTGCCAGAACTATTTTTCAGGTTGCATATAACTCACACACAGAAAACAGTAAAAAAAGAACAAATTTTTCATTAAATTAGAAAGGATCATTTTGTTTTCGAAGTTTTTATTCTATTTTCATAATAAAACACCGTGGCCCCAAGGAAAAAAATTTTTTTTCTAGTGTGGTAGTCAATATCTTAAGTGAGCTGTGACTAGAACCCAGGTCCATCTGATTTCTTTTCTTTTTATTTTTTTAATGTTTTTTAAAGTCTGGTCAAGTGAAGCAGTAGGAGTGGAGAAGGAACAAAGGAATCTGTAACTGGCTGTGATCAATTAGTTGTAAACACCACTGCACTCGGACCAACCAAGGTCCATCTGATTTCAAAGCCTTGCTCTTTCTACCACACCAATGTTTCCGAAACTTGCCTGATCCTAAGGATCACCTGAAGCTCTACTTACAAAAACAAAAACAGATTTCCAGGCCTAATCTCAGACCTAAGAAATCAAAATCTCCAGAGTTTATACTGCCCTAAGTAGAAAAATATGAATCTTGAAAGAGATCATTATCAATGATCCAGAAATAAGAATGTGACAGTGCATTAAAGGTTTGACCTATATTAGCTCCTTTACAGACTGGTCTGTGCAACTTTTCCAAGGTTATAAATGCTTAACAACCCTCCTGAGTCTTGCTTCATTATTGTTTAATACTATTACAGGTTGTCCTCACTTTCTTTCTCTCACTTTTAAAACAATTCTAGGAAAGTTTCCTTCTTTGCATCTCTATTAAAGCCCAGAAGATTTTTACCTGCTCCCTCATTTGTGTAAAAATTAACTCAACAAATATTCCTTGGGCCTCTACCAGTTGCTCTCTGCTAGAGCTGAGGATAGCACTGTGAACATACAGACATGGTCTATGGCATGGCCTAGTGTGGCACAACTCCAGGGGGCACCATAGTCACATAGAAAACAATGCTACTGACTTGGAGTTTATAAATTGAAGGAAGCATATTATAAGTTGCAACACGATCTACAAATATATTATTATTGTTATTACAATTATTATTACTTCTGATCTTGAAGTGCGAAAACTTTTTTTTTGAGACGGTCTCACTCTGTCACCTGGGCTAGAGTGCAGTGGTCTCATCATAGCTCACTGCAACCTCAAACTCCTGGGCTCAAGTGATCCTCCTGCCTCAGCCTCTCGAGTAGCTGGGACTACAGGCACATGCCAAAATTCCCCGACTGATCTTTCTATTTTTTGTAGAAACTGTTAACTCATTTTTGTCAAGTTAAGAAAAAAAGCAAATATAGGCCGGGTGCAGTGGCTCAAGCCTGTAATCCTACCACTTTGGGAGGCCGAGGCAGGAGGATCGCTTGAACTCAGGAGCTTGAACCAGCCTGAGCAAGAGTGAGACTTAGTCTCTACTAAAAATAGAAAAAATTAGCTGGGCGTGGTGATGCATGCCCATAGTCTCAGCTACTCAGGAGGCTGAAGCGGGAGGATCAGGGGAGTTTGAGGTTGCTGTGAGCTAGGCTGAAGCCACGGCACAAGCCCGGACAACAGAATGAGACTCTGTCTCAAAAGCAAAAACAAAAAAAGCACATTCACAATGTTATGGAACCCTCACCACCATCCATCTCCATCCTGAGCTTCATGTTTTTTCTAATACATAAAGACTTTTCTGAAAAGATTAGTGGTGATATTAATAAATGTGATTTTCTGATATCATATAATGAAACATAGTGGAAGACTTTCAAAATTCAGTGAACCAATGTTTTCCAAATGCCTGATGCATAATGTTACAAAATCACATGTGGGTAAAAATTTATTCAAAGTCTAAAATAGACTAAAGGATTGCAATGTAACAGTATGAGAGTTCATTGGTATGGTTTAAGATTCCACGTTGAACTAACCTTCAAGAAATGACCACTTGTCACTTGTGGTGTCATATCAAAGAAGAATGTCCACAATTATCTGAATAGGCTATAAAAATATTGCAACCTCAAACTCCTGGGCTCAAGCAATCCTCTTGCCTCAGCCAACTAAATAACTGTAACAGTCTAGATTTTCTTCTAACACTTTAACCAAAACAACATATCAAAACAAATTAAATGCAAAAGCAGATATGAAAACCTAACTGTCTCCTATTAAACAAGACATTAAAGAGATTTGCAAAAATGTAAAACAATCCTAGTCTTCCCACTTACTTTTTTTGTTTTGGGAAACATATTTTTCACATAAAATATATTATATTGCCATGTAATGGAATTATTATTGTTGTAAATAAATTAAGATGGTTTTTAAAAATTTCTGTGTTAATTTCCAGCAATATAAATATCAGTAGATATAACTCACATAAACAAAAGTTGCCTGAGGTCCCTAACAATTTTAAAGAGTATAAAACTGTCCTGAGACCAAAAATTTTAAAACTATGGGATGAATGTATAAACTGTTGGTTTGATATTGTTACTAAATTTTTTGTAAAGCCAAGTTTATTTACAGTAAAATTTACCCTTTTGAGGTACATTCTGTGAATTTTGACAAATGCATAGCCATATAACCACCACAGTCCACCCAAAGAGTTTCTTCATGATCATTTATAGTCAATCCCTCCCCGACCCAGTCTCTAGCATCCACTGATCTGTATTCTCTTTTGATATTTTCACCTTTCAGAGTGTCAAATAAAATTATACAATATGTAGCTTTGTTAATTTGGCTTATTTTACTTAATGCAGTGCTTCTGATATTCATCCATGTTACATTTATCAGTAGTTCCTTTATTTTTACTTCTGAGTTATATTCTAGGTATGGATGGATGTACAACAATATATTCATTCACCAGTTGATGGACATTTCGGTTGTTTATAATTTTTGGTGATTTTGAATAGAACTGTTTGTATTAGTCCATTTGAGCTGCTATAACAAAATACCACAGACTGGGTAGCTTATAAACAACACAAATTTGTTTCTCACAGCTCTGAAGGCTGAGAAGTCTAAGATCAAGGCAGATTCAGTGTCTGGTGAGGGCCTGTTGGTTTATAGATCATACCTTCTAGCTGTGTCGTCATATGGTGAAAGGAGTGAACAGGCCTGGACCTGTTTTATAAGAGCACTAATCAATGGGATTTGTGCTCCACCCTCAAGACCTAATTATGCCCCCAAAGACCCCCACGTGCTAATGCCACCACCTTGGAGGTTAGAATTCAACATATGAATTTTGGGGGGGACACAAACATTCAGACCATAGCACTGTCATAAACATTTGTATACAAGTTTCTATTCAGATATACATCTTCGTTTCTCTTGGGTAAATACAAATGAGATTGCTGGGTCATATGATAAGTATATGTTTAACTTTATAAGAAACTGCCAAACTATTTTCCATGGAGACTGAATCATTTCACATTCCCACAAGCAGTGTGTGAGAATTCTGGGTATTCCACATCCTCTCTAGCACTTGGTATTGCTAGTTTCTTCTTTTCCCCTCTCCCGATTTTTAATTTTAGCCACTCTAATAGGTGCTAGTGGTTGTTATTAAATTTTTCAAATGTTTATCTTTGGCTTCCCCACATAAGTAGTCAACTGTCTGTGGAAGGGATTACACATCTTATTTAGCTCTCAGTTACCATTAGAACAGTGTCAATGACATAGAACTTATAGGAAATTTTATTAATCCATCAATTAAAGTTTAAGCAAAGAGATCCCCTGATCACGTGGGGAAAGTACCTGACTATAAGGCTTGTGGCATCCATTTAAATCACTATGTAACTCTTTTTATCAATGCCTTGTATAAACCAAATGATCTTGCCCCTACATTTTTTAAAGATTTGGCAATAGAAAAGAAGCTCTCCTCTATATTTTAAGTCCTTACCACCATTAAGGAGATTTCAGTGTGGATAATCCACCAGACACTGATCTTCTCTTTCCTCTGCTCTACTGCAGCCACACATTCTTATGGCCTCATTCCCAGCATTGTCATCTCTTGGAATGGTCCACATACCAATGTATTTTTTTTTACCCATTTTTACATATCAGTAGCTGAATTTTTTAAAAGCACAATTGAAAGTAAATTTACAACATGATTTTAAGTAAATTTACAGAGATGTGCAAACATCACCGAAATCCAGTTGTAAAACATTTCCGTCATCCCCCAAAAAGGTCACTTGGGCCATTTGCAATCACTGCTCCTACCTCCAGCCCCATGCACTATACCCAAATCTTAAACCTCAATATTCCATTTCCTTAACTCAACCTCTACCGTTCTGGACCTCTCATTTCTCCCTTTCTTCCATTAAGCCTGTTGTTAACATTAGCAAGCCCTGATCCCTGGGTTATATTAATACCATAATTCCCCTCAATCTTATTCCTTTCCTTTTCACTTCTTTCTCCATCCACTCACAGACTTCCTTGTCCATTCTCTTGCCAGTAACACCCATATCCTTGTCCCACATGCTTCTGTTGTATACCTCTGTCAAAACAACAATTCTGAATCTATTCAACTGTCAGAGCTTCCTGCTCCTGACTCAATATTTCAGGGAGAAAAAACACACACAACTTTGCCGAATGGTGCATTAGAACTACTGCCTTTGAGAAAGCTTTCTCAACTTGATAAAGGGCATCTATGAAAGCATCGTGTTTAATAGTCAAAGACTGAAAGCTTTCCCCCTAAGATCAGGTCTCAAACTCGAACTTCTGAGCTCAAGCAATCCACCTGCCTTGGCTTTCCCGAGTGCTAGGATTAGATTACAGGCATGAGCCACCCGGCCCCACCAACCCCTAAGATCAGGAACAAGAAAAGAATGCCTGTTTATACCACTGTTATTCAATATTATACTAACTGTTCTAGCCAAGACAATTAGCAAAAACAAACAAACAAAAATGCTATATTGAGAAGAAACAAGCAAAACTGTCTCTGTTTGTAGAAGACAAGACCTTATACATAGAAAATACTTTTAAAAAACCATATACATACAAAACTATTAGAGCTAAAAAGTTTCAGGGTACAAGATCAATAACAAATATCAATTGTATTTATAGATACTAGCAACAAATAATCTGAAAATAAAATTTAGAAAACAATTCCATTTATAATAACACCAAAAAGAATAAAATGCTTAGGAATAAATTTAACAAAAGAAATGCAAGACTTGTACACAGAAAATTATAAAACATGGTTGAAAGAATTAAAGAAAATTTATATAAATTGCCACTGCAACTTGATTTCTGCTCCTATTCTATGAAACCTGACCTCTTTCCAGCCTTTGACACCACTACCTATGCTTTCTTTTTATCTTTTTCTTTTTTTTTATTTTTTGTTGAGACAGAATCTTGTTCTGTAGCCCAGGCTAGAGTGCCATGGCGTCAGCCTAGCTCCTCACAGCAACCTCAGACTCCTGGGTTCATGCATGCCTGGCTAATAATTTTTCCTATTTTTTTTTTTTTTTTAGTAGAGACAGGGTCTCACTCTTGTTCAGGCTGTTCTAAAACTCCTAACCTCAAGGGATCCTCCCACCTCAGCTTCCCAGAGTGCTAGGATTACAGGTGTGAGCCACCACATCCAGCCACCACTATCTATGATTTCATTTAAATAAGATACACAGGATCTCTGTTATTTTTTATGATTACATATGAATCTACAATTATCTGAAAATTAAAAATTAATCTTAAAAGTAGAAAACATTGCCTTCAACCTCAGATGGACCATTTGTCCTTTGTATATCTGGCTAATTTCAAGTATCCATTTGGCTCGAATCCTTTACTCCACCACCTTCCTATCAACAGATAACACCACTGTGACTTCAAAGTAACATTTACGGGACATTTGTTTGACAAAGTATTTTATGTACAAATAACTTCATATGATTAATTCATTTAATTCTCATAACAGATAACTTTGGATACAACTTTTCATAGGCAGTAGCAGCCTCAGACACCACTTCTCTACTCTCTCAGCATCCATTCACTCCTTTTTTTCTTCCTTTAATAATGAAAAGAGGTGTCCATCCCACAGGCTAAGGGCAATCCTTTTACTTAAGCACTGGATCCTGCCTTCTCAGGATCCTAACTTCATCCAATATCCTCTTTCTTGTATTTTAAACCCTTCTCTGTGTATTAGCTCCATCCTGTCAGAATTTAGATATTTTCTTATCTCTTCCTATCTTAAAAATAAATAAATAAATAAATAAAGCTTCCCCCAACCTTACTAAAGCATCAAACCATTCTCACTTTTTTCATAGCCACATTTCTTAAGAATTGTTCACATTTACTCTTTCTTTTTCCTAAACTTCCATTCACTCCACTACAACTTGATTTCTGCTCCTACTCTAGGAAACCTGACCTCCTTCCAGCCTTTGGCACCACTGCCTATTCTCTCATTTAAACTCTCTTCTTTGGGTTTCTCTGACATCACCTCCCCTATGAGAGTTGAGGTAAGTGACACAGTTGACCTAAAAAGAGGGAAACAATGTTATGATAAAGTAGGGCATGGGAATGGCCAAAGAAGTAAAGGTGAATGAAGATGGGTAGTTTCTGAGTGGAGACTTGGGAGACAAGAAGCAGAAGAGTCAATCTGGACCATAAGACAAAGTAACTGATGTTACTGAACCCACAAGGGGGGTTCAATGTTGCCCATCCCCACCCCCACAAAAAGCCAATTACTGAACGAGGATTGTCAGTAGGAAAGGATTTATTTCCATGGACCCTCAACAGGGAGGAGGAGGTATAAACTGCCTCAAATCCACCTCCATGACCAACAGGGTCAGGGTTTTTTTCTGCAGGTGACATGAATAATGCATGAGGGGTATGAGCATCACTGTGTTTTTGGGGTGGAGTGCAGGGTATGCAAACATAGTGAGAAATCATGTTAGTACTTACGTCCCATGATCAAAAAATGGCAGCTAAGTCCCTCCCAGGGCAGAGATTTTAGTATTACAATGAGCAAAGGGTTAACATTTGTGGTTCTTTCAGCCTTGGGAGGAGGCTCAGTGGGTCTTCCCGCACAGTCTGTGGTGGAGTATTGTTTATCTTGTCTTCTCCGGACAAGCAGGTGGTGTGAAGCTTTGTAGGAGGTTCTGCCATTCCTGGGAAAGAAACTCAAAAGAGAATTTATCAGTACAACAGAAAGTTACAAAGTTCTGGTCAGCAAATTTTGCTAAAGAGTTCTCTATTTTCTGCCTAATTGAGATTGCAGCCATTAAGTTACCAGGGCTGAGATAAATCTTGCTGTCAAGGCCACTTAGAGCTGCCAGCCCCAGCCATAATGTGAACAACTGAAAACTCATTTGAAATATGGGGAAACTAAAAACATTATTGAGAAAACATTTTCTTGCTTTTAGAACCGGTTATACTGACTTACACCCTCTCTCCTGCATCACTTTCACCCTCTTTCTTTCCCCATCCTTTGAGGGCTGGTAGGTACTCAGGGCAAACTAAAGGATAATGGGTACGACAGGCAGCAAGGGCCAGCCCAGGCTCTGCGAGTAGGGCGGGTTCTGCCTGTGGTGCGGAAGGGGCACTGAGGCTCCGGGTTGCCGGCGGAACTCTGGCGCCTAACAGAGGTTGCAGCTCGGCGCCGAGCCGCTGGGGTGCGCGCGTGCGTTGTAGCGCTTCCGGCCCCTGTCTAGGTGCTGGCTGTTTCCCGAGGTGGGTGGACGTGGCGTTGGGGCTCCTGCGGCTGCCCCAGGCGTTCTCCGCCGCGGTCTCCCAGGGGCCCGAGGGTGGCTTGTGGTCCAAGTCTGGCCCTGCGCGCTCTACGTCTCTGTCCTCTGTGAAGGGCGTCTCCTGCCCGGCTCCCGGCCAGCGGCGCTGAAAAAGGGGCCGGGGAGGAAACAAGATCCTGGTTCAATAGATTTCTCCGCAGATCCTGTGCAATTAAACCTGCGAGCTCACACTTAAAGCAAAACAAAACAAAAATGAAGAAATTAAGACTTAAGGAACTAGAAAGTCGCCTGCAACAAGTGGATGGATTCGAAAAGCCCAAGCTACTTCTAGAACAGTATCCCACCAGGCCGCACATTGCAGGTAGGGCGGATGGTTCACCACGCCCTTGCTTTCCGGGGTAATCCTGTCAACTCACCACATGATGAAAATACAGCAATTATTTGGATAAAAAGAATTTCTAGAGAATTTCTGCCCTAAGATCTCTGTTACGTTAGAGAAGCCTTCCTTGACAGTGCAGCTAAAAACATCCCCCTCAGAGACACATACTTTATCTTTTTACTGTTTGATTTTCCGCATGCTCTTTAACACTGTCAGACATCTTTTTAATATGTTTGTTTCTCTCATTATAAACTTCTTGAGGGCAAGGAATTTGTTATTCTTCCATCTAAATTCCCAGTGCCTGGAAGAGTTGCTGGTACTGTTTAGGAGCTCAGTAAATATGTGCTAAATAAGGATCAATTTCCTATTGCAACTAATTGCTTGGGCAAGGATTTCTGTGCTATACATACTCTGCCCTAGAAATGAAAACCAGAGTATGTGCTATATAAAGATGAGGATGCATGCATTTCAATTTTAATAAATTATCTGAGAATTAGCATTGCTGCTTCATGCCAGAGTACAGAAGAGAATACAGGAAAATCCATTCAAATTTAATAAACATGTTACCAAAGTCTTTGAGAAGCCTTAGGAAAATTAGTTTGCTGGAAGCACCTGCGAGGAGGAATTTTTTCCAGTTCCAAAATAGTTGATAAATTGCCAGTGAAAGTGAAGAATACATGCATACTTGCATTTAACTCCAGAATGTCATAATTCCAACCAAAAATTGACACAAAATTACTGTGTCTAGGTTAAGACCAGTCTTCTCAACTTACATAATGACTTCTTACAGTCTTCTGGCTGTAGAATTTTTTAGTGGAATCCAATTTTAAAAAATAAAAAACATCAGCTATTTCACACCCAGCATGTAACATGCACTTGGATGTGCTCATTCTTTTGAGATACCAGCTTCAAAACCACCTGCAGCAATGATCAGGATAGCACAGTCAGTCTAAGATGTCCCTATAATTGTGTTTTTAATGCCTCCGGATCCTCAGGCATCAGCACTGGCCAGCAGTGCTTGCTGGACTCAGATATCCACAGGGAGATATCGGTGGTGTTATTCATGCTTAACCTTCAGTGTATCGAAGACCCTTGTGTATTTGAAAGATCCCTTAGAAATCTCAGCAGCTTCCTCCCTGCTCTTCAGTAGTTCCATTAGCAGTTCTCATTTGTAGATTATGAATATATGTCTCTAAAGGCTATATTGTGGCTGTAGGAGCTTATGATGTTTGCATTCCGGTGACAAACTTGTTGCAAAAAAGTTCTGTGCCCTTGTGATACTAATGCTTGTTTGATGACTTGTAGATTTCACAGATTTCAAAACAATTTTGGAGACTGATATATGGTCGCCAGATTTATATTTTGACAAGGAAGTATATTTTTAAAACCTGGGCTGGGCGC